GAAGAGAGAAGAGGGGTAGTTAGGGACACTGGATTCTGCCATGTCTCAAAGAACTAAAAGGATTTTCTGGTAGAATGGATGTGAGACAAGGAGTTGAACATCTTTAAAAACTAAGCTGTCCAAAAATGAAGATTGGATAGAGGAGAGGGATCCAGATGGAAAAATCAGTTCTTTTTTGGACATACTGAGAGATCTATTAGACATAACTAGAGTATACAAAAACAAGTCCCCTCAAAAACCTTTGAAAATCTGCATGCTCATGGTAGTGGGTGCCTGTAATCCCAGCTACTCAGGAGGCTGAGGCAGAGAATTGCTTGAATCCGGGAGGCAGAAGTTGCAGTGAGCCAAGATCGCGCCACTGCACTCTAGCCTGGGTGACAAAGCGAGACTCCACCTCAAAAAAAAGAAAAAAAAGAAAAAAATCTGCATGCTTTCCAATGAACCAGTTATCAATTTCTTCACCTAAGCAGATTTCCTTTGTTCATATTATTTTGCCTTTTTAAAGTGAGGAAATGGAGATTCATTTAAGTATGCTTAAAATAAGCATTACATGTGTAACTATTCAGTGAAGACTCCTAGCAACCCATTAGGAGCAGTGTAGTGTTAGAAATCCTGTCCCTGGAACCAGACTGCATGGGCTTGCTGCTAATTCCTAGACTGATCTTTGGCAACTCACTTTAGCACTCTCAGGCATATTTTCTCATCTATAAAGCACAGTGCAGCACTGGTCACAGTAGCAGACTTGGAACCAACCTAAATACCCATCAATGACAAAGAAAATGTGGCACACATAATACCATGGAATACTAGGCAGCCATAAAAAAGAATGAGTTCATGTTCTTTGCAGGGACATGAAGCTGGAAACCATCCTTCTCAGCACACACACACAGGAACAGAAAACCAAACACTGCATGTTCTCACCCATAAGTGGGAGCTGAACAATGAGAGCACATGGACACAGGGAGGGGAACATCACACACTGAGGCCGTCAGGGGGTTGGGGGCTAGGGGAGGGGGATAGCATTGGGAGAAATACCTAATGTAGATGATGGGTTGATAGGTGCGGCAAACCACCATGGCACGTGTATACCCATGTAACAAGCCTGCACATTCTGCACGTCAGAACTTAAAAAAGCAGAGTGGTACTCAGTGGGTCACCCCACAAAAAGCACTGTGCCTAGCTCATACTAAACACCGTATCAATGACGGGTGTTTTGTCATTTTCCTTTAGCCTTCTATGATGATGGTTTTTGGCTACAAGTAAATCCAGTCAAATTAGCTTACAAGAGAATATAACTGTTAAAGCTCAAGATTGAAAATGACTTGAAGGACTAATGGATCTGAGAATTCAAATGTAAAGATCTTGGTTTTCTTTTTCTTGAGACGGAGTCTCACTCTATTGCCCAGGATGGAGAGCAGCAACACAATCTCGGCTCACTGCAACCTCCACCGTTCAAGCGATTCTCCTGCCTCAACCTTCTTAGTAGCTGAGATTATGGGCACCTGCCACCTTTTTCCACTGAAAATACAAAAAAGATTAACTGGGCCTGGGATTACAAGCCCCCACCATGTTGGCCAGGCTGGTATGTAACTCCTGACCTCAAGTGATCCACCTGCCTCGGCCTCCTAAAGTGCTAGGATTTTACATGAGCCACTGTGCCCAGCCAAATGTGATTTTGTATCCTGAGTATTTTTTCACATGCTATCAAGGAACTTCCTCTGGTGGTGTGGTGACAGGGCATCTTGGGAGGAGACATCACTTTTCCAAACTCAGAACATAATCCCAGGTCTCGAATAAACTGTCTATTCTTAGATCAAACTGTGAGTGGGAGAGGGTGGCAAGAATTTCAGCAGCAGCCCTATCTGGAGCACCTAACATTGACTGATACTTGAAGGAGGAAGAGCACTGCTGGGCAGACAAAAACAGACATTCTTCATTCATCTGCATCCTTTGGTAGCAAATGGGTTCAAAGTATTCTGTCCAATTCATACAAGATAACTGGCCACAGAAACTTACAGTACCTAAAAATATTACAGTGAAATATACAAAACATTATGAGAAATTATAAATTTCAAATAACAAATCCCAACTATGCCATGACTAATAAAACCAACTGTTCATTTCTCTTGATCTGTGTTTGAATTGAGAGCTTTATACCTGACTGTCCTCAGTAAAATTTGGCTATTCAACTGTAATTGCACAACACTGTTTATATAAAAGTCTATCTTCTTGCCAAGATCTCCCAAGTTCCTGTTTTTGAGGGGGACACTGCTCAAATACGCTTGCCATACCCGTATTTGTGACTAAGCCTCAGAAGATTAAGATAATTCTCATTCCTATTTTAAATATAGTTATCAGGATGCTTTTAGTTAATGTCTAACACTTGAGAACTGGAAAAAAAGACTACAAAACTTCAATCCTATGTGGGAGGGAAAAATGCTTAAGACACTGGCATAATTTTTATTATCACCCATTAAAATGTTAGGTATGTTTCAGTATATCCTTGTAAGACAGTATCCAGCATTACCAAGACACTATCTTTAGGGTCCGTAAGGAAGGTTCTAGCTCAAGTTCTTTAAGCTACCAAATTTAACCCTGTGATTTATTGAGGGAGGAAACTGTAAATCCATTTTACCAATTAAAAAAAAAGGGGGAGGATTAGGTTAAAACGGAAATTCTTAACCTGGAAAGAACTTAGGTCTGAGAATTTTGATGGGAAGAAAGTTTCTTCTTCATTTTCACTAACATTTAACATTCTCTTTGGTATTCCAGGCAACAAACCACTGATATTTCAAAGTACTTGTCTTAAAGTACAATTTAAACCACATTTTCATTTATGCATCACAACTTCAAAATATTACAAATCAGACCCACCATTAGACCTAATTTAGTGTTTCAAGTACATTAAGTCACAAACTTAGTATTTTGGTAATATTTTCATGTAATGTTTAAGTAATACCACCTGTATCTCATACATGGAAAAATCAACATTCTAAGGGGCCTGCTGGCATACCAATCTGCCAGAGCATGACATTAAAAAGAAAACAAGTAACCTGCCCAAGCTCACAAAGCTGCTTTTTCATTCTGTATTTAAATTTCTTCCCAATAAGCAAAATCTGACACAGGAATCAAAGTAACAAAAACCTATGAAATACAGAAGACAGACCACTGACTTCAAATAGACAACCCATCAGAATTCTTTCGATATATTTTAAAGGATGTAAGTTTACTCAGCATTTATTGAACAGTATAGTAATACAATTTAGAAATTAAAAATTACCTGGAGCCTCCAGATATAAACATTTTACACAATTCCCTTGAGTATTACAAGTCCCTCAAGTATTAATTAGTAGCTATATACATATATGTAGTGAATATAAATTAATTTCATATCTTTTAAGGTATTTTAAAGCTGTCAACATCCTTGTGTATATGTATCATTTACTCAATTACTATTTCTATACCAATAAATTCCTATTTCCTAACTTACTTTCAGAACTGTGCTCATACATCCCCTATCATATCAATGTATACTTCAATGCACCCTTCCTATTACCTGGTGTTAGGGTCTTTGAAAATGTCTTAAGTTTAAAATAGCTTATTTTACCTATTACCACCTTACATCCCCCTAAACCTTGGCACTGTAGTATATTCAATCCAAAATTAAAAACCAACCCAATGTGCAACAATTCCATTTTTTGCAAAGAAAAACCATGTTTAGAACGTTTACTGCCAGTCTGTGATGTGCACGTGAAGACTCAAATTTTATTTCATTTCCTCAATATTTTGGAGTTTATAACAATGTGCTTTTATTGTGAGAAAAGGGTAAATACACTTATTTTGTTGGAAATAAGTCCATACTCATCCTTTATTATTCCAGGACCTAAGTATTCAACTGAAATTATAAGACATGACATTAAGATTACTTAACTGCACAAAATATGACACAAGGGTTTGAATACAAAGAGTTTGCATTAAGTTTAACAGCTAGCCAAGAATCCTTAACTGGCTTCCACTTACCAATTATTTCACTTGAAAAAACTATATCGGGAAAATGTGCTTAACAGCCATTAAGGCCAGATATCCAAATGGAAGTTGTCATTTTAGAAGACTTTATCAAAGCCCTACCCTCCTCCCTAAAAAAGAATTAATCCAACAAAATAGAGGGCCATTGTACACAACAGATTTTCTTGTGTGTTAAATAGCAGCGTAGTTTAAGACTACTTCATGTCATGAAGGTTTTCCCCAACTTACCCTCACCATACAATACTGAACCACTCCACTGCCTCTCAAGATTTAACAAACTAGTTACTTTCGGACAGGTGCAGTGGCTCACACTTGTTAATCCCAGCACTTTGGGAGACCAAGGGGGGTGAATCACGAGGTCAAGAGATCAAGGCCATCCTGGCCAACGTGGTGAAACCCCGTCTCTACTAAAAACACAGAAAATCAGCTGGGCATGGTGGTGTACAACTGTAGTCCCAGCTATTCAGAAGGCTAAGGCAAGAGAATCGCTTAAACCCAATTGGGCAGTGAGCTGAGATGCCACTGCACTCCAGCCTGGCAACAGCGATGCTCTCTAAAAAACAAAATAAACTAGATTACTTCCAACATCTGCAATACCCGCCTCCTTTCCCTCCTAGCAACCACCTTTACTTTTCTCCTAGTTTGTTTCTATTTACTAATTCACTTATTTTGGTTGTCTTCCCCCTCAAAGGTTCAGATTCCTCACATGTATCACCCAAATACCTCATTTATTGTCTTTCAAGATCTAAGTTCTTATAGGCAACAAGTGCTGGTAACTTTAAAAAATATTTTTCTTCCATGCCTATTTCCCATGGCTTGTTTTCCATATAATAGAATCCACATCTTTTAAAATAACTCATAAAGGCTCACTCCAAGTTTCCTGTTGTTTTATTATTTACTGGTAAAGTAACTCAAAAATATTCACCTATAGTGTTTAAGTCACATGAACACTGTGAAGTACAAAACAACACACACATTTCTAAAAATATTTTAATGAAAAAGTTATCTTTCTGTAAACATTTCATTATACTACAAATGAAACATCTGAATCCATTACAGAACACTTCTGAATTCTTAAAAATTAGAAAACATACTGAAGTTTTATAATTTTGAATATTTAGATAGGCCAACAATCCTTACATTACCCTTGCACACTGGCATGCTTATTCACTATTTTGTGACATCAATTACTGGAACTCCAAGAGATACTGTCATTAATTAGGTTTCAAATTGTTGACTATTATATACTGGAACTCTTAAAATCAAGCCTATTTCAATTATTAACAAATACACTTTATTACCACAGTCTCCTTTAGAACATGAATATAAAATCAGCTTTTTAGAAGTGTAATATTAGAAGCATTAACCTATAAATTGGTTTAACAAAATCAGTTAAATCTGCCTCAACCACTTATATAACAATTTTTTTTTTTACTGCTGCTACAACTTATACTGTATTTTTCAGAAACGACAATGGAACTATGTTTAAATAAAACAATTTTATTTCATAAAGAAATGAACTAGAAAGAACAATGCACTTAAAAAATAAAAACGTTTCCTTTCTTAGGAAATTTGCTTCACTAAAACCACGTTGTAAAGGAAATTCAAAGGCTGTTACCTTACTCAACATGTGTAGAAATTGGGTTCTCATTTAGATAGAGCCAACAGCCATTTTCTAAGAACACTGGCAAACTGACTGCTCTTCACGTAGGAAAACTGATAATTTGGAAACTAGTTTGCATTTTCAGTATTTGTCTCCAAAGGCTGCTTTTTAAGGTAAACTAACCACCTAAATTGTTAAGTCCTTTTGGGACAGCAAAAACAGCCCTTATTAACCATCAACAACCAGTATGAACAGTAATTCAGTATTCTTTGGAAAAATGTCTTTTTACAAAGGAGCACTAATTAGGCCCCCATTGCTTCTGGTTAACAGATGAACCTAAACAAAAAAAGGAACCAAAATGTAACCTATCCAAGGAATTCCCTGAATTTATATGAGAGAACTTATGAGGCCACTTGAAGACCAAATTTCATCTGTGACATCTGATAACTTTTCTGAGATGAGGTCTGTCAACAAGGCTGGAACACAGTGGGGCAGTCAGCTCACTGCAGCCTCAACCTCCTATCAAGGCATCCTCCCATCTCAGCCTCCCAAGCTGCTGGGACTACAGATGTGGAACACCAAGCCTGGCTAATTTGTCTGCTTTTGTCACCCAGGCTAGTCTCAAACTCCTAGACTTGGGATCCATCTGCCTTAGCCTCCCAAAGTGCTGAGATTACAGGCATGACCTATTGTGCCAGGCCCTGTTAACTTTTACTGTTCCTTTGAAGGTGTTTTTCCTAACATGAGGATTGCCAGCCTACTGAGTCTGTGGTGTGTAATGCTTATTAAAAAACGGTTTTTACCAAAGCTGAAGCTACCTTCTCTTACCAAAAATTGAGTTTACCCTGAAGACACTAATAAAAAATGGTATACACAAGGGGTCACAACTGACTCCAGATGAATACCTATGACTATTACAGGAGAATTTTTAAAACTAAGGTTTAAATGTGTTGGACATGGTACCAAGGTAGTTTTCAGCTGAAGAATTTTACCAATGTGCCTACTAGAAAAGGACAAAGTTGTGAAATTTGTACTTGTAGGGAAACAAATGGTGTCATCAGGTTTTACTGTCAACTACAAACCTTACCCAGCCAGAAACCTTCGTATTTTAGATGGTAGGAAAGACATTCCGCATTTAGGCAAGTAGGGTTCTCATTCAACCTGCAAATCAAAAAGATTACTCTTACCTTGCTTTACAAAAAATTACTCTTTAATTAGTGAAAAAATTCAAATTCAAGCCTTACCTAATGCTTATTGCCCTTCCTTGCAGGTCTAAATGCTAGACCTAGTGACTGTGGCAACTATCTCTCATTGATGTTCCAAAAGGCGAAGAGCTCCTTCCTGCTAGACTTTCTTCGATATTTCAGTTGTAATAAGCAGATTTAACTAGCTTTTGAAAAGTTGCTCACTATCATCATAGTATCTTATGCCTTCACTTCTCTGTAGTTGAAGCTCTTGCTGCTGCCTTGTCATTCTTTATTTATGCTGACTTGTCCATACACAAAAGGCTGCTGAAGTCCTGTCTTAGTGAGTTTCCTTTGATCCACACTGTGCTTAAAAAGCACATCTTAGGTCCTTTAAAGCTGGTTAAATCGCTCTCCTCATGGCTTACTTTTCCACACTGTTCACAAGAGCTAAGCTAATACAACTTATAAACAGGTCACATACACAGATTTCACCTGCTTATAGGTTGTAAACATCAACTTACTGTAAATGTTTTCACTATAATACTAGTTCCAGAACATAGAAAGTTGGTTAACAGTACAATTAACCTTATATGCCATTAAAGGATACTGTCAAGGTTGTGTCAAACAATTTCACAAACATAAAACAGGAAATGTCAATCTCCCCCATTCCTTTAAACTTTATTTATATGAATAAAAGAACTTGAGACAATTTAGCTCAATTTTAATGTTTCCCAAGCATTATTTTGACCAGGTACCCAGGTTTAAGTTATGAACATTGACAGTGTCCATTATATAACCACACTTGAAGTTATTAAGGACTTAACCATTTTCTAATATTAGCCTATTTTCTACACTGCTTTTTCACATATATGCCCATTAACAAATGGAATATCTGTTACATTTATTGGTTTGTGAGTGTTTCTGGAAAACTGCAGTATGTGTGAAGACCAATTTCCATGCTAGCATTGCATGCATCCAAATATTAATGCACAGAGGCACAGAATTAG